GTAACTCTTTGTATATAGTAAGTGCTTAATAATATCTTATGGGATGATTGTCCTTGAGGCTGGCATACTGACCAGGCTTTGATTTGAAGGCCCGAGTTACAATGGCTTAGTGGCTGGATGGTCCTGAAGGGGTGGTGGCAGTGGCCAAATAAAGGAAAGGTTAATATGAGTGTGTCCCTGAGATGTGTATCCATGCAAGTCTGGATATACCTACAGGTAGTGGAGCTTAATCCTATCTTGTGCTGTGTTTTCATCTTAGTAATATGCTCTGCCACTTTCCTTTATGAAAAGCATATGGAACTCGTGGTCTTAGGTAGAAAGCTAAGAGAAGTGTAAGCAGAGGAAGGCAGTGCTCCTGGCTGTGGTAGACTGATCTACAGAGTGTTTTGATTCTCCGAATTAGTGGAAAGATTGAGAAAAAAGTAAAAAAAGCCACTACTACCACAGGAAAAAAACATGAGGAGGAAGGGTCCTGAAAATGGTATCTGAGCCATGAAAGACAGTGAATATTTTAAAGATCACTGAATTTAATTTATTCAACCTAAATGCATAAAAGTACAGGTGGGGACATTATTTATGCAGGTATATGCAAATCACTTTATAAAATAGGCAAAGCCCTTCTGCTTTTTATAAGTTGCCAAGGTGGTTCCTGATATTTTGAAAGCTATGAACCTTTAATGTAATTTCCTAAGAGTTGGAATCCCTCTGTCAGCATCACAGTCATTGTCAGAGCAAGTTTATTTTTTTTTCTCTCTCCTCTGGGACATTTGCAAGGCTCTTATAACCATCACAAAAAGAGTGGTTTCCACAGAGATGTGACTGGAAAAAATCCCTTGGAAATTGCTGAGGAGCAAGTCACAATGTTCAAAGCAGAGAACATAGGCTTTGAAAAAATGAACCCATCTGACCTCTTGAATTTAGTACAGTGAATTCCTGAGCTCTGAAACATGGGGCCCGGCTGTGCATGCCATATTGGTGCTATAAGACTGGCAGTCGGTTGGCTGTGGCATGGTCTATTTCAAACTCCTTCACAGTGCCCAGCGTTGCATGTTCCCAGATGACATTTGGTTGGCAGAAGCTGGGCCTCCAAAGCTGGCAGTCTGGAATGCGGCCCACTGTGTTTTGACAAACACATAATTGACCATCTGATTACCAGCCTACATTCTGCACTCAGGTCACTGAAGAGACCTGGGCTTTCAATAGGTCCCTATGCCTTGTCTTACCCATCTTCTCAAACCTTTCTTCAGGAAGCAACAGAGAGAAGATTTAAACAGACCCACGCATGTACTCCCATTTGCAAAAGAGAACATGGTACATGAAACAGAAGCTGTTGAAATTTTCCTTTAAATTGTCCTGGCAGCCCAAAGTGAACAAGAGAAAAGCACGCTTATGGTGAACTCTAATTCAGAAAAAAGGGATGAATATACTGAATTGTTTCAACACCCGGCTGTGCATAAGTTGGAATTCAGCTCAATGGTTTGAAATTTCTGCTTAGAAACAGGCAGCAATGGGAAAATGATAGAAAATTGGGGCATTAATTGACGTTAGGGGGACATTCTTAGGAAATGATTTCATTTTTAGGCCGAAAGAAGAGAAAAGCAGGACACTGGGAATCCCTTCTCCTTATCTACCAGTTCCTCCCCCAAGTGAGTGTGAGAGAGAGACCCTTATCTTTGGAGACCAGTCGGCAGCAGCTCAGAGTGAGGTCAGATTGAAATTGAGGTCTCTGATGAAGTGCCCATGAAGGTGTACTTTGGTCTGAAATTTGGCCCCACACAATGCATTGGCCTTTCTCATAGGAGGCAAGGACTGTGCACTGGGCCAAGATGTGCCCACATTATGCAACGTCCATGTCAATGCCAACACTACCAAATGGCCTCTCCTCTCCACTCCCACCCCTACTGCACCCTTGGGGTTCACCCTTGACCTGGTCTCGCTTTTCTCAGGCAGCCATCTCTACCACCACCAGAGCGCTCTTTTTCTAAAACACAAATCTGGTTAAAACGTCAAAGCCTCATCAAGTCTGCAGCGTCAAGTCCAAACTCACTCCGGTGCACAGCATACCAGGCCCTCGGTGACCTACCTGCCGCCTGCCCCTCTCCAGCTTCATCTCTCAGGCTCCTCTCCCACCACCATGCTCCGGCCACACTAACTACTATCCTCTGCATCTGGCTGCTGCTCAACACCTCCCGGATTTGCAAATGCTTTTGCTTCTTTACATGAGTAGGACCCCCATTTGCTTTCCCCTCCTCTACGTTCGCCTAGTAAACTGCCCAGCCTGGGTACTTCTATAGGTGGAGGTGGGCACTCCCTTCTCCTTCCCCTCCCTACACTGTCTATGTACCTCCATTCCAGCGCCTATCAATCACATGGTGCAGCCTTTGTTTACTGTTTATCTCCCCTACCAGGCTGTCAGATTCTTAACAACAGGGAGTGCTTCTTATTTATCTTGGAGTTCCAGGTACCAAGCATAGTGACTGGCTTTCCTTAAATGGGTGTTGACTGAAAACTGAATAAAGAGCTGTGCTTGATAATGAACCAAAACTAAGCCAAGCAGTAGTATTAGCTCCGATAACCACGGCAGGAGCCTCTTAGCAATCTAATGAAGGCAGAAGATCCCAGAAGTGAGGTACATTCTAATGGGTGACAGTAAGTGTAAGGCCTAGATGGTATGATGGAGGACTGTCTTGTTAACAGAGAATGTCATTAAAGCAGTGGATTTTCAGTGTTTTCAACACTCAGTTTTCAATATTGAAAGGTATTGTCCTGAGAGTGAATCAGAGTCTGAATAGTAGAGAGGTCTAACTTATAAGAACCTGGTTTCCTAAATAGGGCAAGTCTGTGACACGTGCTTCAAGGTAGCAGAGCAGGCGATGGAAAGCTCCTTTTTGTTTCTGTTAAAGAGCCATAGAATGGAAAACTCTTGGGGGGAACATCTGGAAGCTACTCAGCTCCTATTGAAATCTGCGTCAAATCCAGTCTGGGACTTTGGACTAAATGCAGTGCCAAGGAAAGAAGGCCGAACAGGCAGCATTCTGCATCTGTCTGGAGGAGGCCATTGAAGAAGTATTGGGGAGATCTGTTCCCAAGGAGCCTTTCTTTTCCCTTTAATGGGCATCTGGGGCACCGCCTCTGGAGCCATCAGCTGTGTCTGTAGGGCACTTGAGGACAGCAGGACTGTCACAGGCCTTGTTACCCTTGAAATAAAGGCAGCCTCAGGATTTGGAACAATTCCAGTGAGCATGGCCCGGGGGTGGGACAAGGTTAGTGGGTCCATGAATGGGCTATCAGCTCATTACAGGTCACTCTCCCAGCCTCCTCTCTGGTTAAAAACTAGGATCTCTCTAGAAGCTGCTCGATTGATGGCTGATGTAGCACAGACTCAATTTCGCATTTTCCTATGAGCCAGAGACAGTGTTTCAATTATATTTTTTGCCTCAAAGGTCTCCCCCTTGATTTCTAATCTGTCACACAGGTCTCTGGTCCCCTGTACTGCTTGTGTCTGAGGCTCGCCCTACAGTGCTGACGTCATAATAGCTGAGCCGTGCGGGCAGGAGTGCACTGTGCTGACTCATCCCCGGTGATGTGAGGATTAATGCCTTGTCTAACACAGAGCTATTCTGTGAACTGTTTTTACACAAAGACCTGTAACAGAAATGACTTGCCAGGCAGAGGACTAGAAATATGCAGTGCTAGGTAACTGGGGTAGGGCTGCAGAGACATGCAGTGGTGGCCAGAAGCATGCACATCAACACCCTCCAAAGCATTGACAGACCCACTCTGTCAACACCGAGAATAAGGAATAACAAGACCTGTCAGGGGCAGGGAGGACCCACCCCTGCTGTATAAATGCATTACACACAGCACCAGTCTTTGGGGAGTTTAATCAATCTCCCTTTTCTGTCAAATAACTGTCACTTTAGACTTCAGCCTGGGCCTCCTTTGGAGGATTCTGCTCCCCTAAATATGCTTAACTGGCTTCTAAGAATATTAGCAGAAGCCACACATAAGCCAAAGAGCCACAGGAACCCCCTTTTTTTGTGCAAATGATTACAACACAAGAAATGTGTCGGAGTGAGGACTCTGTGGAGCAAGGTAGAATGTGTGAATAAGGAGCCAGTTGTGCCCACCAGAGTGAGAAGCAGCTGGAAGGAATCATTTATTTAAATTAAAAAATGATTATTTATCATGAGGTGATTGCCACTACCTGTGGCATCTCTTGTTGGTGTCTCACGCAGTGACTTTGATTATTTGGGTTTGTTGCCCCACAATCTCTTTCAAGCAGCTCAAGGTAAAATTTATCCAAACCCATTCAGTGCAGTATAGTTTGGGCTTTAAATAATAAATATTCTTTCTGTTCATCTGAAATCAAGTCTCCCCTGCCCCAAGTGACTTTCATCTTTTCCAAAAAAGAATAGTACCTTCCATAAACCTCCTGGTGTATGTAATCCTGGATTTCTCTCTCTCTCTCTCTNTCTGGAGTTTACAATTTCACACACAATTTTAAATGGCAGAAATCTTGAACTTCACTCTTGTACTTCTTAGTAAAAGGATATTAGAAATTTTGTCAATAAATGAAAACTCTGACCTAGAAGTTGAAACTAAAAACCATTGAACCCAGGGATGCATGTGTAACTGAAGAATAAATAATTGCCCATTGATTGACAGTGGGGCAAAAGCCCAACTGCTGCTGGCATCTGGCTGAAGAATGTAAGCTATAGTTTAGAAGAGGGGTGACTTTTGCAAATAGCAGCTGTGGCTGCGTAAAAGGCAGTCTTTATATATAAGACCAGTCGCCGGGATGCTGGTGTTTTCAGCCCCCTCATGGATGGCAACGACTACTACCACCAACAGCATCGACTTCAAACACAAAAGACGCTAAGACATCCAGAAGAAGTACCGGAAACCACGACAAAGTCAACCAGACAACATGACAATAACGACCCAAATTTCCCACATCGGACGCTTTTTTGAAAAGTAAAGAAACCAGTTTTACTTACATAAAGAGAAGGGGCAGGCCACAGACTGATGATCAAGGAACTGAAAAGCAAAGAGAAAAAGAAGGAATTAAAAATAAACCTAATGATCCTGTGGGGAGAAGGAAAGCAAATCTAATACTGCATAGACGGGACTGGTTGCTCCTATAGGATGAGCAGTAGGAACACATTTTGTCACCTGTAACCAAGAAAAAGGAGATCCAGTCATATAACATTTTCCAAAGGTGTGACCTCCTGCTATATGACCAACATAGCACTTCCCAGCACAAGGGTGCCAACCTCTTTCTTTGTCAACTCCATTCTGATCTGAATTATATCAGTATTTTGTAGAGCTATGCCGTTCACTACAGAAGCCACTAGCCACATTTATCCATTTAAATTTAAATTAATTAAAATTTAATTTAAAAATGAAGTGTTCAGTTCCTCTTGCACCAGTGACACTTCAAGTACTCAGTGGCTACCTGTGGCTAGTGGCTACCTTACAGGTGGGACATTTCTGTTGTTGCATAAATAGCTATTGGACAGCACTGGCTAGAATAGGTACAAGCTTTGCTATGTAGTACCTGAGAAATTTTAGCTAATTTTGACAAAGATGAGTCAACCTTTGATAAACTTTGGTTCTTTTAAGGGAAAAATTCGTATGTTTAATGCCCAGGAGTTCCTCTGGACCAATTCGGCACCTCCATGCACTGTCAGCCCTCAGCCGAGGACTGGGTATTGCCTCTTCTACCCCATCTCACCAGCCTAGGAATGTGCCCTGACAAAATGATTCTAAGCTATAGCATCTGTCCCCCAAAACACAACACTAACGATGACAATTTCAGGTTGTGGGGGCTGACTTTAACACTTTCTCATTCTATATTTCAAATCTAATAATTCCCCTTTGTAACCTTCACCTCACAAGCCAAATAAGTTATTATGGGACTGGCTTGCTCACCGTTGTCTTGATAGCTTCCTTTCTAGAAGAGTAAAACTGAAGTAGCAGAAGATCCATGAGAAATTAATAAGCCAAACAAGGATGCTAAGAAGACAAAGCAGGTCTCCCCACCCCCATACCACTCAAATATATCACGGACTTAATATGCGTTGATTGAATTCTTGTCTCTCTGACACCATGATTTTAACGACTTCACGCAAAGCCTCCAGAAACATGCAAAACAAACCGTATTAAAAGAGATCAAGTAGAAGGACCTGATTAAATAACAGCATACAATAAGGCGAAAGCAGAAAAGTGGCAATTAAAGAGATTTCACTTCTTAGCAAGCTTTCTGGACAAATGCACCACCCTCCAGGTTCCTCCAAAGAAAGAGTATCCTCTTTATGGCCAAGATGCACCCCTGTCCGTGCACATCCAAGTGTAAAAGACGGTGTTCCCTTTCTTGGACGAGAAGAGTTGAGACAAAAATCTGATCATAATGTATGCTAACACAAGAGAGGCTGGGGGGTCTCCAATGCTTTCAAATTGTTTCACAAAATTGATGAGCTTAATGAAAAATTTAAGCAAGATAATTAGATTATGTATGATTCATTGAAAGCACATACAAACCTGAAATGTATATAATATATGACTGACTAGTCTTCAAAGACTTTAAAGCTCTAAGTTTTGCTACATTCTCGTGTCTTCTGCAAACCAGGATCCTATATACCATTGCCCTGGTACAACTTTCCTTCCTCCCTTCCCTCCCTCCCTTTCTTTTTTCTTCCCTCTCCCCGACTTTTTTTCATCTTGCTTTCTTTCCCAACCTTTGAGGAAAAGGAGGAAAAATATGATTAGTGGTTATCTATGAAATATGATCACTTATCATTTTTCTGTTGCATGTTATAAACTCAGTAACTCCCAATAATATATTATGCTATTTTCAAATTGTACTTAGTATTTGTGTTCTTATATCTAAGTGCATAACTTTCTAAATTTCAAGGAGCATTTTTCCATAAAAGTTAATTAGTCAAAATTAAATTTGTGTGTGATCAGAAGAGATCAATGTAAATTGTACCCAGATTGACTAATACATCCAAGGCCTGGAATAAAAAACTATCTTTCTGGATGTCAAATGACACACAGGCTGTCAATTACAGGAATCCAAGATGGAGCTAAAAATTGCAGTGTGTATGTCACAGTCTCAGACAAATTAAAGCCAAGTTAAATTGAAGATTTTATTGGATATAATTGTTGTCATTATATATTAATGAAAAACAATAATACCTATCCAAAATTTAATATTCAGACTAAATATTTAATCTCAGAGTTCTTATACAATTCATAAATGTTCATAAACGTCAAAAGGCCCTGACTTTTTCACTGAATTACAATCTGCTAGGCAATTTTGAGACTATGTATTAAACTACATAGATTTATTTTTGTTCAGTTCAAATTGTTCTTTTATTGATATGCATCCTTTCTGCCTAATTGATATTCACCTTATATGTCTGCAAGTTGTTTTCATCTGAAATGCAAAGAATTTTCTGTAATAGTTTTGCATAAGCCTAAAAACATTTGCATTAACCATGCTAGATTCAAAGCACAAATATCTAACAAGGAATATATAACTGCAAAGCTCAAGTGAATCAGGACCTTAAAACATGGTGGAGAGGCAAGAGCAGGCAGTGGGAGAAGGGGTGTCTTGTGGAAATCTAATCTTAGTTTGTAATTTCCTAGTGGAAGTTATTATGTATACTATCCATCTCCAAAGAACTAAAAGTATTATTAACTGTAAGTTAAAGATTCGTCAATTCTGATTGTAATTTGTGTAATGTTCTAGGACAATAGTAATACAGATCCCTATAAGAATCCACTCCCCCACACCAAAACAACCCCCAAACACCAAGTTTCAAGGAGCTCCCAGGCTCCATGAAGGTCATCGATGAACTCTAGATTAGAACCTTGGGCCTAGGGGGAGGGGGAGAAAAAGCTCTTTCAGTCTCACTGCTCATTGCCTCTAGGACATTTTGACGAGTTGCTCTAAGTTGAAGCCAGGAAGGAGTAAATAAAATATTTAGGAAATACCTGGGTGAGTGTGTGTGGCTGGAGACCCCCACACTCCTTTAAAGGCCTCCCAGACTCTGATCTTCCTACTCCTTTACGATTTCTTTTTTGAAAAGTCCACAGAGCTTTAGGAACAACGAGGTAGAGAAGTGGCGAGCAGAGAAATGAAAGAGTTCCTACTCACTGAGTACCTGCTGTGGTTTCAGGCACCCTGGTAAGTAAATGCTCCTCAAATTTGAATATGAGTGTACCCAGGAAGGCGGAGCAGTGTGAAGGGAGTACACAAGGCCACCAAATCAATAATAAAGATGAGGCTGTCTCTTTGGGAGGGCAGTTGTCCTTGTGGCTTAGTAAGTGAAACTCTTATTTGCACACATATTCATTTATCTGATAACAATTTCTTGGGTGTTACAGAAGCAATAGCGTCCAATAACAATGTTCTTGGCCTCGTGGGACTTCCAGTTTAGTGAAACACACAAGAAGATATTGAGGAACAGCATGCAAAATCTGAGTGTACTTTTCGGGTGAAACCTGCGACCTCACTGACAAGTCTCATCTGGGGCAGACTGCTTCAGATAATGTCCCTAGCACCCCAAAGTGCTGGATCACTCAGTCTGACTCGAGGATCATCTATGTGGAAGAGTTTGAAAAGCTCCATTAATAACCATCTATCATTTAATCCTGACTACATGAGTAAACACCATTCCTTCCAAATGACCAGAGAAAGAAGGGAGATTTGAGAAATTGGGAAACTTATCCCAAATCACACAGATCCTGGGACCTGAATAAGTCTGTCCCGTTCCAAAGTCTACAGATATTGTAACCATTAAATGATGCCACCTCTAGGTGTTTCCCATTTTACATTTTCCCCTTGAAATCTGGGCTCATTCAGGATTTTGTAGGCTTGTTTCAGCTTCTTTGGAAGGGGACAGGTTTGGCTTGATTTGCATTCTAAATATTTCCCAGTGGTAAGGGAAAGCTGTTATTATACCCATTTTACGGTGCGGAAGCCGAAACGCTTGCCAGCTGAGGTATCTGGCAGGGTTAAAAACAGAATCTGGGTTGTCAGTCTCATTCCTCCTGACTAACTCTGAGCCTAAGCACTGATACCATCCAGGGGCCTTTCTGCACATGGAACGAACACTGGCTGATAGAGTGTGACAAACTTTGGTAAGAGAAAATAACAGTGCAATACAAGATAGAAAATAAGTAATCATAACACTCAAAGAAATTGGTTACTTTTAGCATTGTGAATAGAAAAGGGAGAGCTTATTCATCACAAATGAATCAGAAAATTAGAATGTGTCACTGCACTGATGACAGAACTGAGGAATTCAGATGAACTGAAGTTCAACACTTATCCTTCTATCTGGAGAGGGTAAATGGAGTGACAACAGGACAGAAATGACCTCTGAGACAGGCCTTTCATCTTTCCAATCTTTTTTCTTCAACTACTGTCTCTAGAAGTTAGGCAGGTTTATATCTTTGTTTTCTATGGGTAGAGATAACATTTTAATATCCTTTTAATGTTCTAGAAGTATTGTGTTAATTAATTCATATGTGGGAGTCATTCCAAATAGGAGGGTGAAGATTTTTACCTGATTGATTTTCCTAATACCTTTCTTGCTCCCAGTGTTTTCAAAGGATGAGGCACTACTGGATTTTTAAATTCGTATGTCTCTCAGAGTAAGTGCCAGCTTCCTAGGTTCCTGTCAATTGATATTCCATCTTCACTCTGGATCCGTGACTTCCTTTATCTGACAGATTCAAGAAATTTTATGACATTTCATGCACCCTGAATTTGGAGATTTTAATTCTCTATTTTCTATCTGGCAAAGGTTTACGTGTTAAAGTCAGATGGAAGGGTTATTCAGACATGCATACAGAGCATGTGTAATCTCCCAGTAGGTACTTTGGGGTCTCCTATAGACACGTTTCTTGAAGTATTTTCATTCTTTCTGATCACAAGCGCCACAAATGGTCATTCATATTTTGGGGTCTGCTTTTCAAGACTATCCGGTTTTTTTTTGGTTCTACCGTGAAAAGAACAGGAAGGATGT